ATATATAATTTGTTGTATTATTGCTGCTACAAATTATCTGAAAACACAGAGGTGTACAACCATAAAGTTTCATTTTTCTCATGATTTTGTACGTTAGGAATTAGGTAAGAAAGTCTCACTTTCGGGTCTCTCACACAGTTTTGGTCAGATGTCAGCTGGGTCTGCAGTCATCTGAAGGTTCTGTTGGGCTGGACACCTACAGTGACTCACATAGCAGGGAGTCGATGCTGGCTGTTTGCTGGGAGCTCAGCTGAAGCACTTACATGCAGCTTGTTCAGTAGAGCGGTTTCAGGATAGTTGGACTTTTTACATGGTGGCTGGTTTCCAAGATTCCCAAGAGAACTAGGCAGAAGCTTCTCAGACCTTTGAAGGGCTTTTCAGAACTATCCTTGGAAGTCACGTACCATCGTGGCTGTTGCGTTCTATTGTTTGAAGCAGTCATAGCCTGTCCAGATTCAAGGGGAGGTGACATAGACCCCATCTCTTCACGGGTGAGTGCCCAAGAACTTGTGGAAATATTTTTATGCTGCCTTATGGTTACTGAAGTATACTTTACATGTAATAAAATGCATACATCTTAAGTGTTGAGTTCAATGAATTTTGAGTTGTTCAAACCCATGTATCTACCACCTGATGTAAGGTATACATTTTTTCATTCCATGAAGTCCTCTGGTGTCCCATTCAAGTCAGTCCTCATACATAGTTTTTCCTGTTCCATGAAGTCACATAAATGGAATTATATGCTCTGCCTGTGTGTGTGTGTGTGTGTGTGTGTGTGTGTGGGCGTGTTTGGCTTCTTTTACTCAACATAAGGCTCTCAGATTCATCTATATTGTTGCATGTATCAGTTGTTTGTTCTTTTTTATTGCTGGGTTCTATTTCATTGTATGAATATACCACAATTTGTTTATTCCTCATCTGTTGTTGGACATTTGAGTTACTTCCAGTGAGTGGCTATTACGATTGAGGATGAAATGAACATTCTTGTATACATCTTCAAATTTTATCAGAGTTTTCTGGGAGTAATATTTTCTTATTATTCATATCCATAGTGTTTCTAAATTGTTTTTATGCTCAAAGATCTTTGCTATTATTTAATTCTCTAGATGATAAAGATCAGCTACCATAAACTGTTTAAGATTAAGGAACCTACAGTTTATAGGATCTACTAGAAAGAATGGAACGGTGCTTTCTCAAGAAGACCACACATCTACATCATTTATCATTCAATCATATAGATGCTTATCAAGAAAGATTATAGAGGTCTAAGACAAAAAAAAAAAAAAA